AACACATTTTGGTTACAAAGATTCATTGGAGAATCTTTGACGTACCTTGGAATATTTGTGAGAGATTATCTCTAGGATGACGGACTGTTCTATATAATCTCTAATTCCTTCTAAAAACTACTACTCGGATATGGATCAAACGGATTTTAATCACAATATTTAAATTATTCTAACTTATAAAATTCTAAAGCAACATTATATATTCAAGTGCTTTATGAACAAACATCTTCTCAACACTAACTTCTTTACTTTTCTCTTCTGCATCAATACCTCTTACTATATTAGCTATCTCCTTAATAGTTGTTCCTTCCTTATCTGCTATATCTTCATCAATGTTAATAAATTCCATTGCTAATAGTGAATTGGTTATCGGAAGCTAATTGATAAGGTTTTCTAATTCATTTTCTAGAGTTTCAGTTTCTAAACTTTCCATCACATCTGTCTGGAGTAAGAAAATCATTACAAACAGAGTTATAGGAAGAATTTCTGTCTGGTTTCAACTATGCTGGATTGTCGTACAGGTAACATTACGCCAAGTATTGTCAATGTAATGAATTACATTAAAGATAATTGTTTTAAGGAGTTCGCTGCTTTTTTCTGGAAGTCTTTCATATATATATAGTTTTTCATGATATAAAATTTTACGATAATAAGTCTAATATTTAAATAATGATTGGATCAATTAAATAGTAAAATTGAATCTTAATAGAACAAACTTATTTGTATAAAATATAGTATATATACCTTTAAACTATAAATTATGCCTTGATCCAAAGGCTGAAGAATGGCGATAGTATTAGGTAAAAGGAAATGGAGTCGAATATTGAATAAATTTTCTATATCTCGTGTCTTATAACAACTAGTATTATCTAAAAACAGGATAATTTTTCTATTCACAAGTTTCATTTGAAAATTCAGATATACTAGATAAGAATGAAAGATGCTTCTTTACATCTATACTTTAACATTCCAGTAATATCAAACTGGTAATGTAGATTTGCTTATATCCTTCAATGCATAGATGACTTGTACTTGTATATAAGATGTATTGATAATTTTTCATCACCAGAGATTTTACAAGTTAATAATAGTGTAATACATTCTTTTGATTTTTTTTTATTTAGTAAAAGTATATGTGCAATTGATCTATCTGGTTCTAGTTGCCAGTACAAAGCAGTTTCGTCACAGTTGAATATGTCTTAACAATCATATTCTTTGAGAATATCCTGCAAGTCAGCTCGGAATTGTGGAATATCTTTCATATTAATGCTTCAAATTTCATCATGCTTTTTATATAATCGTAAGTTATTTCTCTTTTTAAAATTCTTTAACCATTCAGATGAAGCAAAAAATTTGTTGTTATATCCAAATTCTTTCATGAATGCCAAGGCATGTTCCATTAAAATACTGTCATTCAGATTAATATCATTGTAAATTAATACATGCTCCATCCAAAGTTTTATTGTATTATCGATTTCGATAAATATAGGCTTTCGACTACACTTTTACTTAGCACTTGCAGTTCCTGTTTCTATTGTTGACCATATTTTTTCTTGTCTCAAAATATCCAAGACTGCCTGTTTTGATATTTTATACTCCCTTACTATATCTTTTTGCTTGAGTATAGGATTAACTCATATACATTCATATAGTTTCTTTTTCTGTAATGCCATTAAGCTAATGCAGGTTTTTTTATTTATATCATTTTGTTAAAAAGCATCTTTTTATTTATTATTTAAATTGATTGGATTATAAGTTGACATTATGATAAGCTTGTTAAATTTGTGAGATACTAAGTAATAGAAAATAGAAAAACAGAATGATCAAATTTTATTTTTATACTTAATTATAAATAACGGACTCTGCTATAATATAGTGGACTTTGATATGAATATATCAGATTTTATATAACAAAATCTGATATATCAAGCTAAGCTAATTAGGTATATTCGGACAAATTAATTCAAATCCATTATATCACCATTTAATATAAAAGTCTGCTATATAATTTAGTAAAAATTTCGTTCCAGAAAAAAAGTTTGTACAAGCCAAAATCCATTATATCAATTGTCTATTATATTGACTTTCACTGTGTATCTAGAATTAATTTGATTACCTCAATACATAAAGGCACTGCAGTTATTTTTTCACAGATTGACTTCCAAATTATGAGTAAGATTAATACTTTTGCTTTTCAAATATGACTTGATATATAGTAAGAGAAATAAGTAATGGCATTACTGTCAGATTTGATTCATAATTACTACCTTAATATATAAAAGCACTGTAGCTACTTTATATAAGTTGACTTCTAAGTCACAAAAAGGATTTGGCATATTCATTGTTCAAGTATAGTGAAAGTGTTTAATAGATAGAATTGGATTGGATTTTCTTATAGTCATTATTACCTAATCTTGTACAAAAAATTTATATTATTAAGAAGTAAACAATTATTATTATCAGCTCTGTTTGCAGGGATAACTAGAATCTCTGGTCTTTACATATTGTCCTATTAGATTTCCATAAGATGTAGTATCTAGGGATTTGGCCAATAATAGTATATACCAGTTTCTTAAATATATCTAGTCTAACTATTAACAAGTAAACAATATCAAATTTGATAATAATAGTTATGTCAATCTTTTGAAGAGGATAAACCGTCCATTCTTTTTCTGAAAAATTATAAAAAAGAAAAACTTGTCAAAGTTCACTTCTTAAAGAAGGTTGCCACTTCTTATATGGTTCTGAGAAAATTGAGTTGACTGGCTAGAGAGGTGATGAAATAAAATGTAGTGTTTTTAAAAAAAGAGAGGCCTAAAAAAAAAAAACTTCAGGGAAAAGGAAAAATCTACAGCTACCTATCATATTATTGTGAACACTTTTTTTTATTTAATAACTTAAAATTGAATAAGTAAATATGATATAATTTTTTTAGCATATATTTATTGAAACTTGATATATAATATACTAAAATTTTGTGCAATTCCATCCAGTCATGCAGAAGTTATGTGAACATGACTCAACATTACCTTTTTTGTATAAGACTGAAAGCAAAAATCCATTTTTTTTTTTTCGCTTGAAATTTTTGTTTGAAATTTTCGTCGAATGTTGCACAACACGTGAGTGATGTTATGCAAAATTTTAAACAAGGTTTGTGTACCACAGATCGCTGTAAAAAAAAATAAACAGGTTTTTTTCCCTTTAAAATGGGTAACAAAAAGGATTTAATAGAGGGACAAAGAAATTCTGTCATTTATGGGTACTTAAGAGAAGATTCAGTATGCCAGATTGCAACCCTTGTGGATTGTGAAAAGACTGCCACCTGGAATATAATAAATGAGTTTCGTAAGTCAGGTGAATTTGCGCCAGAAAAAAAAAAAAACGTCCTGGACGTCCAAGTTTTCTCACCCCCACCGATCGTAAAAATCTAAAAAGGTTGGTTCAAAGAAATCGCCGATTAACTTTCTTCCAGATCACTACCCTCTTCACAACACAAAAAAAAAAAAAAGTTTCTGAAAGTACTATTCGTTGTGCTTTACATAAAGAAAACTTGAAATCATGTGTCGCCCGTCCCAAGCCATTTGTTTCCCCCACCAATATCGAAAAAAGACTCAATTGGGCCTATGCTTATGAAGGTTGGACTGTTCGAAAGTTCAAGCGTATCTTGTGGTCTGATGAAACCACAATTCGTCTTTTTTAGACCTCTCGTTGTCGAATTTGGTGCGAACCGAACGAAAAGTGGGATCTGGAATATTTGAGTAGCACTACTAATCATAGCCAAGGTCATATGTACTGGGGCTGTTTCTCTTGGTTTGGGGTTGGGCCCCTTGTTCCTTTAATGGCCTCTGCCACTGATGCATCTCATATGGAGATTCTTTGTGAATACGTTGTACCATTTTTGAAAAAATATCCAGCAATTTCGAGTTGTGGTCACCCCGTCTTCCAGCAGGATAACGCAAGACCTCACACTGCGAAAATTGTAAGGAAATTTATCGACGAAAATAGGGTTCGGATATCGGATTGGCCCCCCAAAGTCCAGATCTGAATCCAATCAAAAATCTTTGGTTCGAAGTGAAAAGAGCCGTGCGTCGTAAGCCGAAACCGAATAATCTCCAGGAACTTGATGTCATTGTACAAGAGGCATGGAATGACATACCACTTGAGTTATGCCGTCAGCTGATTGTAAGTATGCCGAATCGTGTCGCCGCTTGTCTAGAAGCCGCGGGAGGATCTACGAAATATTAAAATAG